AGCGCGTATATATTTTCTGCTAAAGTAACTGGCACAGTTGCTGCTGATTGGCCGTTGTTTTCTTTCTTTCACAGATGTTGTCTGACCTTGAGACGACACAGTGTGGGGCTGTCGGAACACAGCAGGCCAAGCAGGATCAGAGGAGCAGGAAAGTTGGCGTTTCGGGTCCTGACCCAAACTGCACATATTGGAGTCAGAGACAACGCAGTGTGGATCTGGAGGAACACAGCAGGCCAGGCAGCATCAGACGAGCATCCTGCTCCTCTGATGCTTCCTGGCCTGCTGTGTTCCTCCATCTCCACACTGTGTTGTCTCTGACTCCAGCAACTGCAGTTCTTGCTACCTCTGTTGCTGACTTTCAGGTTAACGTTTTTGCTTTTCGTTTTTCATCACCCTGAACCTTGGCGAGTTGTTGCATTAATTACATCCCCTTCAGGTTAACTGGCACTTGACTATGTGATCAGGCATTCAGCAAAACATCTGTTGACGTATCAATAGGCTCTGATTCACACACGTTATTATATTGGCTAGAATTTTGATTTATGTGCATTAGATATTGACTTTATCATCATTACACTGGTTTCATGATACGTCAAATAATGCATTGCGGCCTGTCCCTGATATTCCTGCACCAAACATTGTGTTTGTTACTCTCAACTTTCCTTTTATATGTGTCCACTCTTACGTAAGTCACTATCTGTGGAATGATAACAGTAAAATTCAACCTTTGCACGGGAAGCCTTGTCACATCAACTTGATTGAAGTTTTTGAAGAGGTGACGGAGAAGATTGATGCAGGCTGAATGGTAGAGTTGTCTATATCGACGTCACAAAGGGTTTGACTAGGTTCTACATGGTAGACCTGTTAGCAAGGTTATATTACAAGGGATCGGGGTTGTTGGGGGTGGGGGGGGGTGGTGGGATCTAGCCAACTGGATCCAAAATTGGCTTGGAGTTCGGAGACAGTTGACGGTTGTTGAGGGTTGCTGTTTGAACTGGAGGCCTGTGTACAGTTGTGTGTCACAAAGATCAGTGCTGGGTCCACTGCTGTTCGGCATTTACATAAATGATTTTTGTCTGAATATGGGAGGTATGGTTAGTAAAATTTCACGTGACACCAGAATAGGTGATGTAGTTGACAATGAAGAAGCTTATCTCAGAGAACAGTGATATTTTGATCAGATGGGCCAATGATGCAAAGTTTGACAGATGCAGTTTAATTTAGATAAATATGAGGTGTTGTATTTTGTTAAGAAAAACTAGGGCGGGACATATACAGTTAATCGTAGGACCCTGGGAAGTGTTGCCAAACAAAGAGGCCCAGAGGCGCAGGTGCATAGTTCCTTGAAAGTGGAGGCCCAAGTACATAGGATCGTGAAGAATGCTTTTGGCACTCTTGCCTTCATTGGTCAGTGCGCTGAGTATTGGAGTTGGAACGTCATGTTGCAGCTGCGCAGGACATTGGTGAAGCTAAGTTTAGGAGAGTGGTCTCCCTCTTTCATGAAAAATGTTGTTAAACTTGAGAGGGTACAGAAAAGATTTACAAGGATGTTGCCAGGACTGGAGTGTTTGGGCTATTGGAAGAGGCTGAATAGGCTGAGGCATTTTTTTCCCCCTGGAACGTCGGAGGTTAAGAGTTGACCTTTTAAAGTTTTCTAAACTTATAAGGGGCATGGATAGAGTGAATATCCAAGACCTTTTTCTTAGGGTGGGAGAATCCAAATTTAGAGTGCATATGTTTGAAGTAAGAAGGGAAAGATTTAAAAAGTCTGTGTGGTAATGTTTTCACGCAGGAGGTGGTGCGTCTGTGGGAGGAGCTTCCAGACGAAATTGTGGAGGCGTGACAATTAGAATATTTAAAAAGAATCTGGATGTGTAGATTAGTAGGACAGTTTAGAGCGAAATGAGCGAAATGCTGGCAAATAGGGTTAGATCAGATTAGGATATCTGATCGGTATGGGAAATTGGATTGAAGGGCCTGTTTCCGTGTTGTATTACTCTTTGATTCTATGACTCTATGACAGCGAAGGCCTATTATGATTAGTGGAAGCATTGACCTTGTCAGATTCAACAGGAAATAGCTTGTTTCAGCCCACCTCTTTGAATATTCACGAAGACACGTGTTAGTTATAATTCTGAAAAGTATTTATTATACTATGATTACACAAAAACTTGTATTTTTCCAAATGAAAATCACATTCCTGTACTTATCATTCCTGGGCTAGTCTGTTTCACGGATTCTTTCTTCCCTTTGACAGAAAAAAATCGATTTTCTGCTTAAACTGAACAGGTCCTTTCTCTGTTGTTACTGTCATGTCAAAATTGAACACATCTATATCTTTGCTTAAATGACACCAGATCCTCTAAGAGGTGTGAGGGATTTGGCCACCTTTTCTAGTCTGCTACATCAGGGCCAAGCTCGTTTTGCATATGATCACATAAAATTCATAATGAAAGTTTAGCCAATAATTCTCGAGAGAAGTTAAATGTGTGTAGTTGACGTTTCGAATGTAACAGTTTTTCTGTTCTTCTAGCTCTCGTTATTTTCAATCTGATTCGATCCGAGGAAATATTTTTACACCAAGCCGGTAAAGCGAACCTGGAACTCACTTCCTATAAGTGTAGTGAAGGCGGAAACCCTCATAACAATTAAAAAGTCTTTGGATGTGCACTTGTGATACCAAGGCATAGTAGGAGCGCACATGATTGACTCTAAGGCCTTTGTTTCTGTGCTATAAACCTTTCTGACGATGAATCTGATTGATTATTGCCCATTGACGAAGAAATGAAGCTGTGTACTGTTGGTTTAGTGATCCTCGAAATTTGGAGAGAACTTTCTGAAATAAGGAAGGGAAGCAAATGATATTCAACAGTATTGCAGTTATCACCGAGCTGCGTTTCAGAAATTACTTATCAGTATTAATTATGCATTGTTCTGTATTTTGGAACATCCAAAATTTTTGTTCTCTAGACAAAACAAAAATGCAAAATCAACGTGTAAAGTTATTCTTGAATATCTTCACAGCTCTCAAAGTCGCACAAGTGAAAAATAAAATTGACCCCGATATTGCTGCTGAGTAGATTGGTTTACAAAGCGTCAATGGTCATGGCTTGAAGTTGGCTACTCCAAGCTGTTAAAAACGAGGTTAGCATATCGTTGATTTAATGAAGAAAACACAGATGCTTCGAAAAAAATGGCACTGAGCATTCAACGTTTCCTATCTGCTGTTGGCTGGATTTCTGCCAACTACTGTGTATGACTGATTATGTTGTTCCAGTTGTACATATTTACTGTAGCAAAAAAAAGCGCAGAAAGCCGCATTCACTATGTGACTATCAGAAAATAGGAAATTTACTGCACACCACTAATTTCCACTACTAACAATGAAACATATTTCTAGTTCATTAAGAATGCTTCATATTTTAAAAAGCCAGAATGAAAGTGTAACGGCTCCAAACTGGCACTGCAATTGTATTAGTTTGCATCTCAAAGAATTTTTAATGCAATTATTTTGGACCCACAGATCTTCTTCTCAGACTGATATGCCTCTTTTAAAGTAAAGGTGTTCTTCATACCTCGTTAGAATTGGTTTAGTGTAACGTTTAATTTTTGCTGATTTCTGCCAGTTACTAGTCCCTGTCATCGCTACCAGGGAGAAATGAAATGTCCTGTTTTTGATTTGTGTCAGTAGCAGTTTTTCCTTGTATTGCTATGTAATTTTCTGCACATTCCTGATATAGTGTGGCCTCTATACCAGTGTCGAATTGACAGGCAGTTTCCACACAATTTTACGCTAAGATTTGAATTCTTAGGAATAATTTTACTTATTACAGGTGCATAATGATTTATTAGATTCTAGTTTTTCAAAAATTACCTGAATTATATGTTTCGCTGTTAGCTCACTCTTTCATTATCGGGGAAACACATGATCTTTACTGAGCATTTTCAAAGGACTGTTTTATTCGGAGCAGTTTGAGAACTGTAAGAAGAATATTCTCCTATGTGAGGAGTTTCTTATATTCCGGTCCAAACTGTACAATGCTATACTATCACATTTTAAATGGCACCCTTCTTGTCTGCTGCCGGCTGGATTTCTGCCAACTACTGCATGCGATAGATTAAAGGGAATATGAATCAACAACAAAAAGAATTGTTAACTATCAGTCTATATTGTTCCAGTAATACACATTTGCTCGAACAAAAAATGTTGAAAACCGCATTCACTACATAACTATCAGAAAATAGGAAATCTACTGCACACCACTAATTTCTACGGCAACTAAATAAAGGTCATTGCAGTTAGTTAAGACTATTTCATATTTTAGACATCTAGAGTTAAAATAAAGCGGGTCTACCCTCACACTGTAACTACATTAGTTAGAATCTCAAAGAATTTTGGCCCAGTGCCATCTTGTACTGTGGCCATGTTTGGTACTGAGTTGCATACATCAAAATTTAGAAATATCCGTCCTAGATTATATACTATTTTTGTAGTGTGGTAAAGACTTGGAGATTCGCAAAAATAAAACACGTTGCCATTAATATTAATAATGGTGATAATTTCATTAAACTTTTTTCAGTTTACACACTTGTGATTAAATGTAGAAATAAAAGGAAATAACTTCGAATTGGATTACTTTTTGTTTGAAATGCAATATTAAAATCCTTGATCTGAACGAAACCTCAAGCTGGCCAGTTGTATTTTCGTCATTAAAAGTGAGGGAACACTTCCATTTCAGAAAAGCAAATAAAACCAAGATAGATAAATGTCCACATTTAAGAATAGCCTGGTGTAAATATATGAACTGTGGAAGGTGGCACTAGCATCTAGTCACAGCCTCCATCCGGGAATCAACAGGCGTGTCTATGAACCTGCCCTTTCTAATGTGTATTTAAACACTGGTCTCTGGACTGTAATTCAACACTCCTGGATTTTGTTTGCATCGAAAGCTATTGACAGAACCTTTTCCCGAAATTACCAGGATTACCTAAGTCAAAGAATGATGTTGTCAATTTTCCTCAGCTTGTTATTAATTTTCTTATCCCGTAACTGTTCATTGTCGAGATCTTTCATTATCGAGATCTTTCATTATCACTATCTCACTGTTAGTCTACTTCTAGAATGCAACAGGATTCATATTTACATTAATATTCGAGATTTTTGTACCCTTTTAAAGGTGTCCAATCGGGGGCTGTTTTGACTCAACCAGAGGCAGAAACAGGCCACCCTGAAGGCCCGCTGAGACTGACCTGTAAGACCAGCGAGTTCAATTTTGTTAGCCACAGAATGCATTGGGTCCGACAGGTTCCCGGACAGGGGCTGGAGTGGTTGGTTTACTACTATGCTTCATCCAGAAATGACTACACCCTAGCGATTAAGGAGCGATTTACTGCCTCCAAAGACATTACAAAGAGCATCTTCATTTTGGACATGAAGAGCCTGAAGATCGAAGACACCGCCATCTACTACTGTGCAAGAGACTGGGGTGGCTCACTCCATTACTGGGGACAAGAAACCATGGTGACAGTGACTGCAGGTAAGAAGCATATACTTTCTTACCAACTGTTGTGTTTGCCTTAACCTTCTATTTATACTAGCAATTCATAAGTTAAATGAAACTTGGTTTCAGTGGATCCTACGTTGTTTTTGGTTTGTTTCTAATAATGTTCTTTTCCTGAAAAATAATTATAGACTTGAAATGAGTCGAGGTAAATAAGTAAAGTGTTAGTGAGAGATTCTGTCGCTCGTTGTTTCTTTTTTCTTTTCCTGTCAGCTGGGCATACTGTGTAGCAGGATTAGTTGAAAACTAAAATCTCTTAAGGGGTGAGGCGTATAAATAATACTTGATGTCGGTGACATCAAACATCGGTGAATTTTAATGTCAACAGAAAATGTTACGAAGTTAATGATATTCGAAACATTACCAAACACTAACAAAATATGCTAAAATGTCATGATTAATTTATTGAACATATTCCATTTACTCATAATGCTATAACCATGACTGTGTTTGCGGTTTACGTTGCTAATTTTGTTTGATAACAAACACATTAGATTCTGTACTGAAATTATCTTGAGGTGCTCCACTTAATTCTGTTGATTTCACTTGATTGGATTCTGATTCTCTTCCAATTGAATCTGTTGATTTGACTTGATTGGAATCTGATTTTGTTTCACTTTGTTCTGTTGAGTTGAGTTGATTAGGGTCCAATTCACTTCGTAGAATCGATCTGTGTCTCCAACGAGTTTCAGTTGTTTTCAGTAATTAGTGTTTTGTTTATACTGAAGAGATTATCTGTCTGCGTTGCGTTTAATCAGTAATATTTACAAGTTCTTTGCTTTTTCCGCATTGTTTCCACATTTGATAAACTTAGTGGTGGCATCTTTTTTCTAAATTCTGAATGATTGAAACAGTTTACTCATTTGTAACTGCCTGAAAACCGATTTAAGGCAGAAATACACAAGGCTTGATAAATGACAAAAATGATATATTGGTGTATTGTTTATTTTAAAGTTCAGTTAACTAGCTGTAAACTAAGTAAAGTCGGTTTTTTTTTTTTACCCTCCTTCAAAATATAATTTGTGACGAAAACCTCATGCTGCCTAATTGATCAGATTTCATAGCTTAGACCAAAAATATTAAAATTTGCGCAATTATAACGTGGTTATATTTATCCATTTAACTATTTATGATTTTATATTAACGAAATTAATCAATAGTTGCCTCTAGGAGCTTTACTGTGCATTGCACACAATTGACACGAACAGGAAAGATGTATAGGTTGGAAATCAATTGTAATTGTTTTAAGTATTTTTAAATACCTCACCTTTCTAACGAAGCTGCTGTTGCGACTTCGTACTTCTGTTTACACAAGCTTGTTTGATGGTGAGCAGTTTAATTGGATTCTAATTTATGATTTCCTTGAATGTTAACGTTTTTTGCTTCAATTGAAAGTTCTTCAGCAAAAGCATCACTGTTCCTCAGTGTTACGATGAAGTCATCTTTGTACAATTGAGAAGATAATGTGTTTAGGCGACATTGAATACGTAATATTACATAATAATACGTAATAACACGTAAAATTAAAATCGGTTTCTAGTTTCTACATTGCTTTTGCATTGTTTACATTTTTGGTGACAGTCAACGGCTCCCGTATCCTAACTTGATGCCAACAACATGCGAATTAAAATTACCTAAAACTCAATATTAGGTGAAAGGCAGAGTGCGAAGGTTTTGGAAATGAAAGGAAAACAGATACTTGGAGCGTAGTTCTGAGGAAGGGTCACCGGACCCAAAACGTTTACTCTGTTTTTCCCTTCACAGATGCTACCAGACCGGCTCAAATTTTCCAGCAACTTTGTTTTTGTACCTGTTGCGTGCTATGCTTAATTGAAAGCAATAATTACAGATTAACCTAATCCATTGTTTAAATGACAAATTCAGAGTTCAATTACCTAATCGATCACAAACTCTGCAATTAAACATTTTGCAAGCCATAGAGAAACATAAATAGAACTTTGAAAATACAATGATTTAAAAGCTTTTTGACATGAGCCAGGTGCCATTATGTTGATATCATTAAACAATAATCTCCTTTAAATTCGGTTGCATACCTCACACAATTAATCTGCGTATAAAAGGCAATTGGCAGAGAACATTTAATGATTATCTGTGAAATATTTTCATGAAGAACAGAACGATTTCAGTGCTTTGACCAAGTGAATTTAATTAATTAATTGTTACGCCCCTAATTATACTAGATTTGTGCGAATAAAGATAAATCATTTACTGAGTGATTTCGTCAGCACAGTGTTTTACGTGTTCCCAATGCAATTATTTTAGATATTTATAGTTATGTTTTACAACTACATATCCACTCAAGAGTCAGTCTTTCGGAAATAACTGACACCGTGGACAATGTAACTACGGCTCTATTTTGAAATAATTAATATAATCTACTCACCAACTCATCACGGGGAATAGCTGCTGTGAATGCAGAGAATGTGTTAAAAATCTAAGTTTTCAGAAATATGTACAGTTTACAATTTCGCAGAAATTAGAATGTATTTGAACACAATTTATTTCAAACGATGAGAATCGAATAATGTTTATTTTAATTAATGTACATAACTGAATGCTAAAAGCTGAAGGCTCACATTGGTTATGTCATTTGCTTAGATATCAGTTAAACAGGGAAATGCTTAATTTTTCTTCACTACAAATAAGCTATCAAGATGATTAACTTGCAGCAGCAAAACCAAAATTGACATAAATTATTTGTTCTAATTTGTTCAACATCAATGGGTTTCCACAATGGAATGAGATATTGATTTTCAGAACTCTTTCAAAATCTCCAAAGTTAAGAACGGTTTTAAGAAAATGTAAAGTTAATTCAGAGAATACTCTATTTCCTACTGAATTTTACCCAAGTTGCTGTGATGTCGCACCTCAACAACTTTGTTAACTACAATGCGTTAAGATGTTTATTGAATCAATGGATAATCTATGTTCATTGCGAAAACATTCTCATTTGCATCAATATTTACCATCTGGCTAGTTCCTATTCATGAAACATAAATTATATTGAATCAATAACGTTTGACGTAACAGATTGAACAGAATTATCTGCAAGGATCATGACTACTCTGTCGTTTATGTCTGGACCATTTCTGTCTGTCTTGGCAACCAGTCTTACAACAGATTGTAAACCGTCTGGTTAGGTCTCCTGTCTTTCAGACAATTTAATTTCACCTGGAGCTTCAGAACACTTTTCCCTGCAAGAAATGTAACAAATGATTAGGCCCTTCAGAAATGAGGACCCTCACCAATCAGAACGAGCTTTTCAGGAACAATAACTCGACTGTAGGACTTTTGAAATCTGTTGTTATCAATAGTGTATCTGCATTGGGAGATTTGGATTGAGCAACGCAGAGCAGGAACAATGCTGTATATTTAATTCGTGCATCAGTTGTATGCACCAGAAGCAGAAATTATTCTGCATCTTATTATTTGAGAACCTTTTAACATTATTTCAATCATAGCAGACCATCTGGTGTAGGAAGGCGAACAGGGATGTTAAGAATGGAGTTCCAAGCTTGTGATCCAGTGACAGTGAAGTTATGCCAATGCAGTCGTTAATCCAACGGATTTTGCACGTTCCCAAAGTAATATCAACGTAATCTTGGATAATTATTGAAATGTTATTTTTATCGTGTCAATACTCTACAACAATCCCTGGGTGCTGGAGGAGTGAATGATTAACATTGTTGATGCACTATCCAACAGATGGGTTGGTTTGTCACAGATAGTTTCGATCTTATTGTGTTCAAGTCTCTTGTGGTACAGTGCTGGTGTCCATAACTCTGCAGCAGAAGACTGGTGTTCAGGTCCCGCCTGTTACAGAGATATGTATTAACATCTGTTAGCAGGTTAATTATGAAAAGAAAAATGAAATAATTGAGACAGCAAGAACTGCAGATGCTGGAGTCAGAGACAACAAAGTGTGGAGCTGGAGGAATACAACAGGCCAGGCAGCAACAGAGGAGCAGGAAAGCTGAGAGATAGTAGGAACTGCAGATGCTGGAGAATCCGAGACAACAAGGTGCAGGGCTGGATGAACACAGCAGGCCAAGCAGCATCTCTGCTCCTATGATGCTGCTTGGCCTGCTGTGTTCATCCAGCCCAGCAGGAAAGCTGAGTTTCTGAAGAAGTGTCCCGACCCGAAACGTCAGCTTTCCTGTTCCTCTAATGCTGCCTGGCCTACTGTGTTCCTCCAGCTCCACACTTTGAAATAATTGAGTTTTGTTGGAGTTCCACTCATGGAGGCCTGTGGAATCTACTAAATCGCTGTCCTGACTTGGGCCTCTTCGGCATTGGGGGTAAGCAATCTTTTTTCATCACTTTTGCTCATGAGATGTGACCGTTGCTCATAGGGGTTAATGGAGTAACTGTGCACATAAACGTTGGTTTCTGACTTGCTCTTCTAACAACAGCGTTTATATATAATCCCGACTAAACCGCCTACTAAGCATATTTGATGAGACAACGTAGAGGGTGTTTCATTTTATGTCAAACCAGAGATCAATCAGATTGGGAGAGTTTGGCTGTTTGTTAGGTTTGTGTTTCAGATTACGCCAAAACGTGAAACTGATAATGGCAGCTTTACCGTGGGTCTTTAATTTAAATCACTGTCCATCCAGTACCTGTCCTGAGAATCATTTTCCATAAGAGGTCAAACAAAGTTTGATTCAATAGGAAGCGAGTCCTCGTGCTAGAAAACGTGAAAACAGTTTGCTGAAGAAGGGTCACTGGACTCTTAATTTTTCTTGCTCTCCACAGGTGCTGCCAGAGCTGCTGAGTTTCTCTGGCAATTTGTTTCTATTTTAGATTTCCAGCATTCATAGTTTATTATTTAATTAAACCAGTTGACTCCATTGACAGATGAAAGAACATTAATAGATTATTTTTTCTATTCATTTCGTGGGAAGTGGACATCGCTGGCTGGCCAGCATTTCTTGCCCATCCCTAGTTGCCCTTGAGAAGGTGGTGGTAAGCTGCCTTCTTGAACCACTGCATTCCTCCTGCTGTGGGTTGACCCACAATGCTATTAAGGAGGGAAATCCAGGATTTTCACCTAGCAACAGTGAAGTAACAGCGATATATTTACAAGTCAGGATGGTGAGTGACTTGGAAAGGAACTTGGAGGTGGTGGTGTTCCCATATATCTGCTGCCCTTGCCCTTTCTGATGGACGTGATGGTGGTTTTGGAAGGTGCTGTCTGAAGATATTTGGTAAGTTTCTGCAGTGTATCTAGCAGATAGTACACACTGCTGCTACTGAGCGTCGGTGGTGGAGGGAGTGAATGCTTGTGGGTGTAGTGCCAACCAAGTGGGCGGCTTTGTCTTGGATGGTGCCAAGCTTCTTGACTGTTGTTGGGGCTGCACTCATCCAGGCAAGTGGGGAGTATTCCATCACACTCCTGATTTGTGCCTTGTAGATGGTGGACAGGCTTTGCGGAGTCAGGAGATGAGTTACAAACCGCAGTATTCCCAGCTTCTGGCTTGCTCTTGTAGCCACTCTGTTAATGTGGTGAGTCCAGTTGAGTTCTGGTCAATGGTAACACCCAAGATATTGATATTGGAGATTCAGTGATGGTAACACCATGGAATGTCAAGGAGCGGTGGTTAGATTGTCTCTTATTGGTAATGGTCATAGCCTGGCATTTGTGTGGCGTGAATGTCACTGCCACTTGTCAGCCCAAGCCTGGATATTGCCCAGATCTTGTTGCATGTGAACATGGACTGCTTCAGTATCTGAGGAGTCACGAATGGTGCTGAACATTGTGCAATCATTGGCGAACACTCCCACATCTGACCTTATGGTAGAGGGAATGTCATTGATGAAGCAGCTGAAGATGGTTGGGCCTAGGACACTACCCTGAGGAACTCCTGCAGAGATGTTCTGGAGCTGAGATGATTGACCTCCCACAACCACGACCAGATTCCTATGTGTCAGGTATGACTCCAACCACTGGAGCGTTTGCCCTCTGATACCCATTGATTTCAGTTTTGCTAGGGCTCCTTGATACCACACTCGGTCGAATGCAGCCTTGATATCAAGGGCAGTCACTCTCACCTCACCTCTGGAAATTAGCTCTTTTGTCCATGTTTGAACCAAAGCTGTAATGAGGTTAGGCGCTGAGTGTCCCTGGCAGAACCCAAACTGCGCGTCGTTGAGTAGGTTATTTCTGAGCAGGTGCTGCTTGACAGCACTGTCGATGACACCTTCCATCCCTTTACTGATGATCAAGAAGAGACTGATGGGGTGGTCACTGGCCGGGTTGGATTTGTCCTGCTTTTTTTATGTACAGGGCATTCTTGGGCAATTTTCCACATTGTCGAATATATACCACTGTTGTAACTGTACTTGAACAGCTTGATTAAGGTAGCAGCAAGTTCTGGAGCACAAGCATTATCGTGTGTTGGGGAAATGTATTATAATTCGTCGAGAAATTTCACTGATTTTGAATATCAGACAATCAGTGAATGCGAGTGATCTAAATTTGTGTCCCAGTTTCAGAAGAAACCTTATTAAGTGCAGTTGAAGAAACAATAAGGCCCCAGAGTGCAGGGGCTACACTAAGTGGTTGTGCACTATTTTGATGAAT